GGAAGCCGGCTTCAGCTGCGTGCTGCTCCGGTTGGGACAGACCCGCCTGGGTCAGCACCAACCAGCAGAAGTGGCAGCAAAGCCGTGTGCCGCTCGGGACTGACCAGCACAGGTAGGGGGAAAGTGCAGCTGAGCCCCCTGTTCCTCCAGCTGGGCTCATCCTGAGGTTCATTTCATGTTTGTAAAATGCTTGGAGAGCCCCACATAGAAGTGCAAAATATATTTCAACTTATTTGGTTGGCACCTTGGGCTGAGATTTTCAAAGCTGAGTCAAAAGGTCAACTTCCATTAAAATGAATGGGATTTAGAGGGCTCCAAATCTTTTATGACAACCTTGTAACATGCCTATCTACCCCTTTTTGCAAATCTCAGCCATAGTTTGGAAGCTCAGCCAAAGAACATAAGAGCTTCTGAACATAAGAGCATAGAAAGTGCCATGCTTGGTCAGCCCCATGGTCCATCTAGCTCAGTATCCTGTCCCGAACAGTGGCAGAGGTGGATGCTATAGAGTAAGAGTTCTGAACTGGTTATTTAGACCCATTTAATTGTCACTTGCTGCAACTTCATTGGTGTCAAAGGTCATGTGACATTACTTCTTGATGTGACACCACTTCCTGTGAGGTCTTTGAATATGGCTCGCCAGCCCACCGGGTGATAAAAAGTTTGTGATCCGGCCCCACATTCAAAAAGGTTGGACACCCCTGCACTAGATAACCACCAAAAACTAGTTCTCTGCATGTGAGCACGAGCTGACTCGAAATGTGTTGCATCCGTTTTCAGAACTAATGGAATTGGGGTCATAAGACAATGGACTCCATAAATGAACATATACTGTAAATTCAGGAAAGTCCCTATACTGATGCCTTCAGTCCACTGAATACACACGCACTATGGCTTAGGTGTACTATGTAACACATTCTTCAAAAATATGACAGGTAACGGACTGGACAGGGTTTATAAACCAAAACCTAGAACCTGGCTAGATTTGAAGCGAGCTGTGCATTCAGTCCCCCATTTGCTTCTCTTTGGAGGGCTATTACCTCAACAATATCCAGGTTAAATTGTGGTGTAACAGGCCACTCCAAATCTATGGATTCTCTTTTAGCAAGAGCCCGCCTGACCCCCTAAACACGCACCACTTGGGGTGTTAAATATAATTTAGTTAGCTGCAAAACACGTATGAAGGTCAAAGCCCCTACAAAAACAGCATGGGATTAATCTACAGAGTGGAGGGGGGGAGCAGTACAAATGGAGAACAGGCTCTTTTTGGTTGAGGGCTGTCCATCATACAGCCCCACCCCTTGCCACTGACTGGCTGAGAGGCAGGTCCACAAGACAGGCAACCCTCTTAGCTAATCACCAACAAGAGGCGGAGTTGGCAGTAGAGGTATGATAGATACATCAGTGCGATATCTGATTGTCACTAATATAAAGAAAATTGATTGTATGGAAGTCTGCTCGATGAGGCCAGTAATTTGGCTGATAAATGCCTGTGTGCGTGCAGCCGCAGTGCATTATCTAGGCAGTGAGGAGCACAGCCCAGCAGCTTGCAAGTCTGATGTGACGGAAGGGGATGGGGAAGGGAAGAGGGGGTTGGCTCCCGCTGCTGCGCGCTGCTCATCTGAGAGCCGCTGATCTGGCGCTCGCCTGGCAGCTCCCGCTGCTCATCCAGGAGGGCGAAAAAGCCACTGGAAAAAACCCCAGACCAGCAGCTCCCGGATGAGCAGTGCGCAGCAGCGGGAACCCCCCTTCCCCCCCTGGACAAGCTGCATCCACCCCACCCAGACAGCCCCTGCCCCACTTCTCCCTCACCGTGGGGGCCTTGATCTGCCCCGCTCCCCACCCCTTCCCTCCCCCAACCCATTCCGCCATACCAGACTTACCTGCTACATGCACAGCTCTCCAAGCTGCCAGGCTGGTATCAGAAGTCAGATTAGTATTGGCCGATATACCTCCTTAAAAATCGGCTATCAGTACTGGCTCCAAAAATATCTAAATCGGTGCACCTCTAGTTGGCAGCCCTCTTAGCTGTTTGCCCTTGTGAGGGCATCCCCCTTCATACCAGGCTTCATGGCTGGGAGGACTGCTGGTGCCTGCTGGCGAGCCAGTATTTCATTTTTGTAACTGTTTTTTATTTGTTTTTAGAGGGGATTTTTCCCCCCTGCAGATTTCACGGAGATTGCCCGATTTCATGATTTCTGCAAAACACGCGCAATAGCGATTTCAGGTGGTCCTTCCTTACCTATCAGATACGCCTCTGACGAGCAAAAATTTAATCTTCTGTACTGATCCAAAGGCATGTCACTTTAGACATTGTCCTTACACCCACCATAAATATAAAAATGTCCCAGGTGCACTAAA